ACATCAGATCCAAAACATAGTGTGAAAACTAGTGTAACTACTCTGTAGGCTAATCTGACAATGTGGATCATCAAAAGTCTTCAAAACATGCACTAGTATTTTATCACTAGAAAAACAGGCAAAAGATATGATAAGACATTTCACAGCAGGGAGAAATACATGAAAAGATGCTCAACTGTTACTTAATGGGTTGGCAAAATAAATACACAAATAAAATACAAGTAATTACTACTACCAAAAAAAAAAAAAAAAGCCTCACACATGGAAAATCCAGAGCTGACTTGGCTGGGGACAAATAGACATTCTTGTGGTGGTTGATGAGAGCATAAAATACTATAATCCTTTTGGAAAGCAAACTAACAGTACTGAAAACAAAACTGCACACTGTCTTTCATCTAACAGTATTACTTCTAGGTCTCTACACCTATGGAAATAAAAGCAAGGACATATAAGGATTATGTGCAAGATGTTCACCGTAGCATAGATGCATCATCCATAGCAGTGTTTATATATAACAAAGAGCCATCAAGGGGTAAAAGTTGAATGAATTATTGTACAATTATATGATATCATTCTTTGCAGCTTGAAAACAGGTGGTAGATTGATTTATACATGCTCAATATACAGTTAAGTAAAAGATCATGAATGTGTATTGGATTGCATAAACCCAATTATGTACAGATATTAGAAAAGAATATATAAAAGTTGGACTTGAATGTATTATGTTTTCCCAAAAAATTAAATTAAAAAAATGACTAAGAGGATATGTTACAAAGGTATTAAAAATAATTATGTCTGAATGACAGCCAAGGGACTTCAATTTCTTGTATTTTGGTGATTCCCAAATATTTGCAAATGACTTTTTTCCACTTTAAAAATATTTCAAAAACACTTAAATACGTAAGCTTAATATTTAATACATATTAAAAATATTTCAGACTGGTATCACCCATTATATATGAAGCTGCTTGTATGAAGCTGTTTGTATGAAAATATAACTTGACCATTTCTGCATTTTATCCAACTCAAATTTTTAAAGTATAAAATGACCAAAATAGCAAATATTTAGTAATATCACTTATCTTCACACATTAAAAAAGGATGAAATTAACTTGGTTCTGAACATTTATATAAAACACATCCAGCATGCAATTCTACACTAAAAAGGTAAAAATAACAGTAAGGTTGAGGTTCTCAAGCTCAGTGTTTCTCAAACTTTTGGCACATCAGAATCCCCGGGAGGGCTTGTTAAAACCAACTGCCAGGTCACAACCTCAGAAGTGGATTCAGTACGCCTAGGGTGGAGCCTGAGAATGCCTATTTCAACAAGTTTCCAGGTGATGCTGACTTTGGGGTCCAGGAACTACACTTTGAGAACCACTGCTTTAGTGCAATGAAAAGTGGCATACATATTTATGCTTTAAATTGGTCACGTCATCAAGCCAGATCTATAAGTAAAAAGTGATTTAAAAACCTGTTATTTACTGAAGTTCTTACTTAGAAGCTACTAATATAGTTATGGACAGTCATTACCACAGTCTAACTTGGCATGTCCTTGATGCAGAACATAACTTACAAAACAACCATTATTGTTATTATTATACCTTTTTAAGAGATCAGGAACTAAGGCTCAGAGTGCGAAACTTGTGTTTCAGTGACAGGGCCAGAATTCCTAACTAGGCCGATAACCCCCAGCAATTGAGAACCTACCAGGGTGTACTAGGCACTGCGCTAGTTACATCAGAAAAAGATGAGTTAGATAGAGCCCTGTCCTCAAGGTACTGTCTGGCAGGAGATGCAGATTAAATAAAGAACAAGGTACTAGGAGAAAAGCAGAGGGAAGAAAGTTAACACCTACTTCAAGGGCAATACACACCTTTAGCTCTTTAACTGCAAACCTCACAATTTAGAATTTATTAGACTCTTGTAGTCTTATGTTACTTTGTTTCCTGTAGTTCTACTTCTTCACCTGATTGTCTTCTCCCTGAGATGAGAACCATGGTTTCATATGGTTCATACGGCACTAACATAGGAGTCTCAGAAATACTTATGAAGTGATTGGTTGATAGGCTCATCTTTCAGGATGCCAGCAACTGTCCCTTCTTTGTCTAAAATGACACATATCTGAAATATAGGCAAGGACCCAGGATTTTTGAAAAACATTACAATATATATTGTTATTAATACTATCTCTTTGCACTTAACTCTTAACTTCAGCTGTCTTTAAAGATGTTTAGTCTTAATCAATGGTATTACGAATATTGACACTTTCACTCAGGCCATGAATAGTCAAAGGAACTTCAACTTTTTGTACAGAAGACAGAGCCAGCCAAAAACACACCAGCTAAGAAAACTGAGAAGCAGCTAGACAATCAGATGAAAAAACCAGCATGGAATGTCAAGAAGTCAAGAAGTGAGTGTTTCAAGGGTCTGGACAACTGTGTCATGTAAGCTACTGAGAAGTCAGGCAAGTGAGAACCAAAAGTATCATTGGATTTAGACACCCTCGTCATTAGACCTTAAGTGAGAGCTTAGAACCCAGAGTGGGCTGGGAATTACTTGAGGTGAGGAAAGGGAGACAGCAAGGACAATAGATTTGAGAAGTGTGACCATGAAGGAAAGGAAAGACGTTCAGTAGCAGCAGGTTAGGGATGGAAGGTTGAGAGGACTGATATTTTTATTGTCTTAAGATGAGATATAGGACCACAGAAGCATCTGCTTTCTATTGACTTGCACTAGTAATATGGTAATAATGGTAAATTTTTTTCACTTCAGCAAAAAGCATTTACCATATAATTTTTCAATTCCCTTGAACTGAACATAAAGGTCTCTCACTTTGCTGGGTAATGAATAAAAAGGACCAAGGTCATCTGATGATGACTCAATTGTTTTCTTAGCAACATTAATTTCTTCAGATAGGAGAGTCTCTTTGAGCTGTTTAGTTCTAGAAAATATTGGTGTTTGGGCCTTGGCATTTCCAGTCATGGCACTTTTTAGATGTTCTTTAAGACTTTTTCTCCTATTTTCCTCTGAACTAGTTCTGACTTTAGAAGAGGAATCATCAATTTGCTGGTGTTGTTCTATGTTATTCTGGGGTAATTCCTCATTCACAGTCTTGTGAGAGGATGCGTTCCAATCCCTCTCTTTAGTAGACTGATTGCCCAAATCATCTGAAGAGTTCTGTAAATTTTCAAAGTATAAAACCTGTGAAGAAGGTACATCATACAAAATATCAGGTTCAATGGAGACATCTTCATGCCTACTCTGGTTCTTTATGTGCTCATCCGTTTTTAATTCAGTAAAGTTGCCTACAGTAGTAATGCTGAGTTTGTTGTGTTTGATGCTTTCTGAACAAAGATCTTCAGTGCTAAGGTCTGAGGCATGTTTCCTATGTTCAGCAACTTGCATATGTTGTTGTTCCAGGTCATCAGCTTGAGCTAAAAAAGAATTTTCAGCAAAGCTGTCATAGTCACCAAACATGTCCTCTTCACTGTCATTCTGGAAAGAAAACGAAAAGTGTTATGGTCAATTCTAGCTTCACTAAGAGCAAAAGTTTCAGCTATATTGCTACCTCTAAATATATACCAGGTATATAATTACATGGATCATAGACCAAAATGTAAATCACCCTATGAAATGGATATTATCATCTCCATTTTACAGATGAAGAAAAGGAAAGCCAGAGTGTTTAAGTAATTTTCACAAGCTGCACTCCTAGGGTATGGTGATACTGGGATCCTAATTCTTAAGCTAGTGTTAAATCCTTAAAAAGGTAGCAAGACCAATAGATATCTACTGGAATGTCATCTCACTAGAATTTTCGGGTAACTGCAGCACCATTCCCCCTCCCAGACTCCAATCTACAGAAACTGGCTTGTAACAAAACGACTGGACACTCTTAAGGAGATTCTGTTCTTAGGAATTAGGAATTGGAAGGGAGGGTCTGCACACTGACTTGGGATGGTCTACTCAACAGAAGAGATGTAAATTTAGAGGTAGCAGTACAGTGAAGTGATTAAGAAAACAGGATTTGGAGTCAGAAGTGCAGTTTCTTGACCTCTCAGGGCCTGATTTCTGTTGTCAAATCTAGATAATGTAAATAGCTTAACAAAGTACCCAGTACATAATGGGTGCGCGATAAATGATAGGTTTTATTGGTACCGCAGGAGCAGCAGTAACTTGGAAATCTAGATTTGCGTCGCAATCATGCCTCTTATTTGCTGCATGTACGACTTCTATGTCTCGGGGGTCTACCTTTGAGATCTATATAAAAATGAGGATAGCAAAGCAATACCTCACAAGTGAGAATTAACAGCGATAACAAAGTCGAGGTAAGCAAATGAAGGCTAGTAGACAATTGGTCCACTGTTTGCATGTAGGAAGGGAACAACCAAAATTTTGGAGTGTCTAGTTCCCTGGCTTCTAGAGCTGGTCTTAGTGTTTCAGTGGGCATGCGTGGTAGGAGACCTGGATTTGTATCATCTCCCCCAAAGTGGGCAATGAAACAAGGAACTCGTAATTTGAGAGCTGAGAAGGTTGTACCTCGACCGGTTGCACCTCCACGGTTTTCCTCCGCCGGCTCCCAGCCATCATCTCCTCTTCCTCTTCCCCCTCCTCATCGCCCGGCTTGAGCTCGGCCGCGGTGGGGGCGGCAAAACCGCTCCCTAGGCTAGGACGGTCCCTTTTGCGGACAGACACCCGCCGGCGGATGCGGGAAACACCTTCATCCATGGCAGGGGCCGAGGACCCTGCCCGAACTTCGTCCCGCGTGACCTAGCCGCCAAACCCCCAAGGAGAGGGAGAGGAGGGCAGGGCGCGGGTAGCAACTGGGGGAAACTGCGCTCGCTTCTCCATCCACCTTAAAATAAGACCACAAATCAATTGCCGGGGCTCTCAGACCGGAAGCGGAGGCAGAAGCGTAGGGACCCGCCTTTTCCTTGTCCAATCATAGGTGTCCCAGGCTTGCATCCGTGAGGGTTAGAACGCAAAGATGCTGCGCAGGCGCGTTGAAAACCTTACCGGCCCTTCTCTTGTTCGCCCGCGGAACCTTTGAACCGAGTACTCGGGCCAACAGGGGAAGAGCACCGGCGGGGACTTGTCAGGACGATTTGGAAAGAGGAAAGGAAGAGGAGGAGCGAGGAGCCATGGCGGCTTTGGTTGCTGTTTGCGGTGGTCTAGGGAGGAAAAAGTTAACGCATTTCGTCAAGGCTGCTCTCTGCCTCACAGATCCTGGGACTCACGCGGGTACAGTTTCCATATCCTATACTCGTTGCAGCCATTGCCGTAGCGCTAACTAGGTTGGTGGAGTTGTCATTATTAGCTCAACGACGCCGGTTTTTAGGCGACTAAGAGCTTCTCCAAGAGAGATGGGAATCTGTAATGACCAATAACTAGTATTTTATTTTTAAAAAGATTTTATTTATTTATTTGAGATCGAGCATGAGCGGGGGGCGGGCAGAGGGAGAGGGAGAAGCAGACTCCCCACTGAGCAGGGAGCCGGTTGTGGGGCTGGATCCTAGGACCCTGAGATCATGACCTGAGCCGAAAGCAGACGATTAACCAACTGAGCCACCCAGGCGCCCCCATGACTAGTATTTTAAAGCAGAAGGGGGGGGGGGGGGATAAAGCAGAAGGGGGCGTGAATGTTATCTAGTACACTTTCTATTTTCCTTTTAAACACACAAAGAGAGTGATCGCGTGATTCTCAAAAAGAGGCAGGGACCTAACTTGCTTGAGAGCTCCAGGTAGAGTTGGTAAGGAAGGGACATTTCCAGAGTCACCCGGTAGTGCATTACAGGAGTTGTCTAAGGTCCCAGATCAGGGCGCAATTGTGACATGGGCTCTCGAGTCTTTCATTTCTGCATTTTATCTTCTCTGTCAATAACTACTCTTTAGGAGGTCTGTTACATTTTCCCTTTGGTATAACAGTGCCTTTCTATTGCTTTCCCCTTAAGTGTTTGCCTTAAAATCTGTCTCTAACCATGGAGTAAGGGGAAAATAAAATTCATGAAATACATGCCCTTTCCCCAAAGCCTTGGAAAGCACATTCATCTTAAATCTTATTCTGCCTCACATCTAAAGGTTTTTATCCAGTTGTTGTATGTGAATATAAAACCTTTCTTTTATGTTCTATCCCTTGATTCATCTTGCTTCCATAAAAACAAAAATCTTTCTTTAGTTGCTGAGCTGACAAAAAGAATTGGTTTGTTGCTGTTTATTTAATTGCAGTGCTGTGGAGAAGTTGTTCACAATATAAACAGGTAGCCAGCAATGAGGACCTGGTAAGACTTTTTTCTTTCTTTTTAAGGCATTTGCAAATATGACCAAATTCTTATATTTTAGCTATTTGAATACGACAAAACGATTAAGATGATAATCAGTTTGAGTTTGAAAATTACAATTCATTGGTGAATTGTCACTTAAGTGAGCTTTGAAGTAAGAGAATTCCTAGAGTCCTAACAAGAAGCATTGCTTGTGTAACACTGTATTTTTCTTCTTAGATCTTAAATTTAAGGATATGTGCTTTGGAAATTAAAAAAGATAGTTTTGGTGGGTGCAGTAATTACAGAATATCCAACAGATATTCTGTAAAGTCTACCTGTACCTTGGTTCTCTTCCCCATTTCAGATTCAATTCTTTGTCCTATTCGTTACTGGGGGTGGGGAGTGGGTGTTTTAGTAAATGAAGGATCAAAATCGAAGTTTTATACCGGGACATTAAATAGTTTCTATTAGCCTGTAGGTGTATTTTTATGGGTTTCAAGTACTAGCATTGGGCTTAGCCAGCGTAAGTTTTCTTGCTACCTGCAAAGATGATTTGACACTAATCAAACCATACAAAGCACTTAGCGCAGTGTAAAGAAGGAACATAGTCATTTTAAGTGAACTGCATGTAAATTGGATTAAGCAAGTTTGAGTTGGAAAACACGTAAGTCCTCTAGTCCCTTGAGCATCCTTCTTGTCATCTAATGCACACCATAGTTCAAGGGAGTAAAGGAAATTACTAGAGCTCTTTTCTAGGTCATCAATTCCCCTGAAGCTCTAAATGAAGTACGGGCTCTCAGAATAAAGCTCACAGTCTCTTTCATTTGAAATTTTGCATACAACTACAGTGGATTATGGACTTCAAAGCCATTTCTAGATTAAGAATCTCTTGATTGGAGACGTGAGTATACTGATTATAGAAGGGAGGCATGTGGCAGAAGCATTAGAGGCAGTAATGAAGACAGAGAAAACAAAAAGGCTGACATAAATGTGTAAAGCAATCTGGGACCATATAAGTTATCCTCCCATAAACCTTTGTTTTCTCCAAGGATTGTATTTTATCCCAGAATCCTCCTCCGTGATTTAATTCCTCCTTAGCCAAACCAGAGTATTTGTACAAAATATGTATGAACACACTGAAATCTTTAAAATGGTGACTCCTTTTCAGAAACACTGATTTTTCTTATATAAGCCAAGCTGTTGTATTTTTTTTTTCATAGTAAGAAAGGTACAACTAATCCTTTGGATAGATTTAAATGTGGTAACCTTAAGATTTAATTTTTTTAAATTTAACACATTAAACTGTATTATCTTTTCTTCTTTCCTTTATTTTAGCCCGTTCCAATGGAAAATCCTTATAAGGAGCCTCTTAAAAAATGTATCTTGTGTGGAAAACGTGTAGATTATAAGAATGTACAGGTGAGATAAGGTTTTACTTCACTGTGATATTTGATTTTAGGATTTGCTGCTTTGTTAGTCATAACTAACAGGCTTTGTGTAGAGGCACCTGTTTTAGTAACTTCGTAATTTCAAATCTGGTTTTCTATGTATAAGTCATCTGTTTTATTCTAATGAGAGCCCTTTAGCTCTCCTTCATCTGCTATTATTTCAGGTGTTTTCTTGTCTGCCCTGGAGGTCACTAATAGCTCACTATGCAGTGATTCTTAGTTGGTAGAGTTGAATAGTTTGGAAAAATCTCCTCTGGTGAATTTGGTCTCTGTACTAATAACACTACCGATATCACTGCTTTAAATGTAATTTTATCTGTTGTAGGGCTGAGCAGATTAAAAGTGGAAAATCTGGGGGAGAGAATAGTGCTGTAGTGAAGTATACAGACAGCAGCAAAAAGTGATAGTAGCTGCCTTAGGTGAAAACCAAGAAGTTTAAAGATGCATCTTATCAGAAGGATTATGTGTAGTGCCAGGAACAATGCCTGGTACCTGAAAAGTACTAAAGAATTTAATAAAACGTAAATTATGGCAAGTGGCCTGATGGACCTGTACCTCTTGGAAGACCTCACTGTAGTCTGATACGGTGCGATAGCCTATCGTGACAGATGAAATGCTTAGTGCCTTATTACAAGCAATAGTATTTTAGGAAGTATCTGTGGAAAAGTTCAAGAAAACAGCTTTAGCACTGAAAAAAATGTGTACATTAATCTGTTTCATCATACTGGATAAGAGATGTTAACTTAGTAATCAGTTTTTTCACTTAAAAAAATGACCTATTAATAGAATGAGCATAGTTCAGTATTTTATGAAGTTTGAAATTTATTTATAAACCTTTACATAACTGGACAGTGATATATAATTTTTTAAATTTACATAATCAAGGTTGAACAAATGTATTGATATAAATTTTTTTCTTCTCCAAATATAACTCAAAACAGCTTTTGTCCCAGTTTATTTCTCCATTTACTGGATGCATTTATGGAAGGCACATAACAGGTATTTTGTTTTCTATTATAGCAACTTATAAAAAATTATACAAATCTATTTAAGAAAAATGTCAAATTTTCAAGTTGTGCTATAAATCACTAGTAGACCAGATACTAGAGGTACTTTTGAGAAAGCCTCTTCGTAGCCCAAAAGGATTATTATTTTACATGTCTTCGTATGCTCAGAGTTAACTATAGGCAGACAACATGTAAAAAACTAGGGCTTTAGAAAATTGTGTTGATGTTTTGGAGTATACTGTAATCGTTCCTAGACTACTTATTTAAACCAGGGCCTATTTGCCTATAGGCCAAGTTAGATCTGCCACCTGTTTTTGTAAGTAGCTTATTTACATAATGCCTGTGGCTGCTTTGTGAGCTACATCAGAGTAATTACAGCAGTGACTGTATGGCCCGCAAAGCCTAAGATATTTACTGCCTGGCTATTTATAGGTTTTCCAACCTTTCCTTAAGATAGTTGCTATGCATTTTGAGTGTTGACATTTTTTATGAATATGAAAGCATTTTTTTATAGGTCTTTGTGGGAAGAAACAGAAAGAAATCACAAAAGCAATTAAGAGAGCTCAAATAATGGGTAAGAGCACCTGAAAAACTGAATTGGGCCAGTCAAAAGTTTGCTCATTATCTTTTGTGAAGCACTTTTCATTATCTTTTACAGGGTTTATGCCAGTTACATACAAGGATCCTGCATATCTCAAAGACCCTAAAGTTTGTAACATCAAGTATCGGGAATAAATTATAGGAGTCTTAACATCCATCAATAAATATATTTTACAATAAATGGTTGTATGATTCTAATATTGACTCAAATTACAAGATTTAATAACCTTTGGGTAGAAAATCGGCTCAATCCTTTCAAACTGAAGTTTTAAGTTAGTTCTTAATAATTGAAATCTTAAAGGAAAAAGTAAAGCTTCCTCTTCACTTTTAAAGAACATGAGTTATTTAAAATGTTAATACTCATTATTTTATATACATACAAATTTTTAAAAACTGGTACTGTAGGATGGTCCCTAGTTAGCTCATAAAACTCATGGGGATTTAAAATACAGAAAGGATGGGGGCGCCTGGGTGGCTTAGTCGGTTAAGCGTCTGTCTTCGGCTCAGGTCATGATCCTAGGACCCTGGGATGGAGCCCCACATCAGGCTCCCTGCTCGTCCGGGAGCCTGCTTCTCCCTCTCCCTCTGCAACTCAGCCCCCCCACCCCCCTGCTTGTGATCTGTGTCAAATAAATAAAATCTTTAAAAAAATATATGGAAAGGATGACTTCTATTGGAATTTTACTTTAGGCCCAGATTCTGTCTTGTAAATCGGATTTTAGGGATATGGGTGCATGAAGGTGGAATGCTTGTATTATACACAAATTCCATGTGGCAGGGTGTGGATTTAAAATTGCTCAGATTTTCTAACTAGTAAATAGAAATATGCCTGGCTAGGACAGTGGGTCTTCCCTTTGTAGAGATGTTACATGGGGATGGATAGTGATGCAGTTGCAGGACCTCAGATTTACTCCTGGGCTAGTCTATCTTAAAACTGGTAGCATACTTTAAAAATGATCCATTGGCAAATGGTCTAGAACTATCTTACTCCAGTGATACAAACTAATTGCCAAAGATGAGAATAATTGGGGAAAAATGATCTATGAGGACCCTTTTCCTTCATTTAATGCCCTGAAACTTGGGTCATCAAACTTATTTATGGAAGTTAAGCCGGTACGGACCTCAGCAAGGTTCTCTGATGGAAAATTTAGCATTTCTTCAAAGAAGATGGATCATTGTGCACAAGTATAAGCCAAATACATTACCTCTTTATAGTGTTTCAGCAAATTTAACTTTGGATGAAAGCCTGTTTCTTGTAAGCAGTCTTTGAAAAATCTTAAGCTATTGTCTTCAGAAGATAGTCGCGTATGTTGGTTACTTATTGCTTCTGCAGTACCTTGTCTAGCAGTTGGTTCATAAACTGGTACATGGAGGGCAGGGAGAGACTGAAGAGGCAGGCAACTCCCTATTTGTAGGTGGCAGGCTTAGTAATAAGCAAGGGAACTTACTTAGGAAGTTTGTCTTGGGTGGCCGCAAGACAAGTACATCTCTGCACCTGCCTGCTAGTCTTAAAAGTTTATACTGAGGCCTTAACTGGGTTCAGTCACACATACAATCCATATGGTGTCAACATCTTACTTTCTCAAGGCTACGTCTTTGGAACAGCTCACACTGTGGGAACAGTAGGCAAAATGTACATTCCAAGGACGGAAGTGGAACCTTTGCTTCAGTCCGGCTGCCAGGTCAACCAGCAGTCTTGTGTTCTCAATAACCTCCTCCAGCAGTTCATTTGTTGGTTGCATTTAGTCCTTATCTATGTTCTCTGTGATGTTCTATATGCTCTAGTGATGTTTGTGGTTATTTTAAGATTTTATTTATTTGAGGAAGAGCATGTGAGAGAGAACAAGGTGGTGGGGGAGGGGGGCGGGGTGGAGGGCAGGAGAAGCAGACTTCCCGCAAAGCACGGAGCCAAACATAGGGCTCCATCCCAGGACCCTGGGATCATGACCTGGGCTGAAGGCAGGCACTTAACTGACTGAGCCACCCAGGCGCCCCTGTTTGTGGTTATTTTTAAGTTAGGCTTCAGACTGCCAACCTATTATCCCTCCCTCTGCCTGGTGTTGTTACACAGCAGTGCTTCTTAGGTAACCAATTAAACGATCCCAACAGAAACTCATTATTTGTACAGAACATCCCTGCTGTTATATGGGCTTCATTAGCACCCCATGGTAACTAATGCATGTTAAAATAGATAAAAGATAGTTTTGATAGTAGCTATGAATTTGTTCTGTCACTTAGGAAGTAGCAGATGGAAAAGCAATGGTCAAAGTGTGTGTTCAGCATTTCACCCAGTGAGTAAAACAAAGGCTTCATATGATGTATAGGCTTTGTGGAAAATTCTCAAAATTATGGAAAAGACAAATACAAAAAACACAGTAAAAGCTCTCTTAGCCAACTTCCACTTAACCAATTCACTGGATTAAACTGGAGCTTTACATCCTTAAAATCATACTGAAGCCCATACTCTTCAAACCTGTTGAGTTTTGCATTGCCAAGAGGCGGCTATTTTGTTCCCAGACCTGTGTTAGTTTTGTCTGTCATTGTATTGATGAAGTATGAGCATTAAAGTTATTGCTGCAATGAAAATGAAGTAAATGCTTTTGAAATAAAAAAATAGTTTTAAGAAAATAGTTGTCAAGTTAGGTGTGGTTAGGACAGCTGAAGAAGGTTGGAAGTAGGAGGGTGCTGTGAAATGAAAAAAAAAAAGCATTTTGTACTCAGGTTGCTTTTCAAGTTTCTTTAAATTCTTCACTTTAAAGAAACTAAAACTGGGAATTGTAAAGGTTAAATAATGGATGTGATTTATACTGGAACACCAGCATACTCAGAAAAGTTCCTAATCCTACAACAAAAGGTTGACAAATGAATGTACAATTCTGCTTTATGTTAAAATGAAATCTCGGTGATAGACATATGTATACTTATACACATATGTACATTTTTGAGTCCCACTTTAATTGGCCTTTTCAGCTACTTGACCAGCTGCTGATCTCAGACACGCTGCATTATCAGGCTTGTTCTGTTCTCAAATTCTGGATTCACTCAATTCTGTGTAGAAGACTCTAGACTAGGGAGAGATATTTGTGCCACATTACAGTTTTGCCATAATTAGAACTGCCAGATTTAGCAAATAGAAATATAGGACATGTGATTAAATTTGAACTCCGATTCAAATTCAATTATTCATTTAAACAATGAGTAAGTTTTCAATGCCTAATACTGCATGTTGTCCAGCATTTTATCTGGCAACCCTAGCCATTTATTGTAACTTAAGGAGCAGGAATTACGGTGCCTTAGATAAAAATGAAATACATTTCATATTAACTTTAGACATTTTTTTCTATTGTGAAAATAAGGTTAGTCTTTCTTTTCCAATTCTAAAGAATGCTATAGAAATTTAAAAGAATATCATTTAAGCTTTTCCCTCAACAGTTTCGTATAAGGAGCAAAAAACGGGGGCGCCTCGCTGGTTCAGTTGGTGGAACATACGACTCTTGATCTTGGGGTTGTAGGTTCAAGCTCCATGTTGGGTGTAGGAATTACTTAAAATCTTTAAAAAAGGAGGGGGACAAAAAAAGGTTATGGTTTTAAAATAAAGTGCTTTAAAAAATAAATGTACTAGAACTTATGTATTACTGCAAAATACCTGAACATAGTAAAAACAATATAAATGGCTTTACCCTTCAGCCAATTAAAAATGTCCTTTTGGCCTAAAATGATCAAAATGTAGGAGACTGTGGATAGTCACCACAACCCTTCATTTTTTCAATGTCTTCATCTGTTTCGGGGCTGCTCGTTGTGGATGCTTTTTCTTGATTACTACTATCAGTATCTGTTTTAGATGGTTTGTTTTGTATCTCTAATGGCCGTGACTTCTTGAATTGCCATCCATCATTGGTATCTAAAGCTTTACGTTTAATCATTTGCAGGGCACCACTAGCTGGACTAGCTTCAGGAATGTCAGTGTATTCTACCATTAAGGTCAGGTTGTCTATCACATTGAGTTGGTGGTTGGCAGTACAGCTAGTTTTAGAAATATGCCTATTTTTCAAGGAGATAACACATGAATGAAGAAATTCATGATCTGGAAAAAAGGTCCGTAAAGCTTGACAAAGAAAAATGTTCTCCTGAGGGTCTTTTTCGATGTTCTCTCCTAAACAAAATAAAACAATAGTTCAACATACCGTATTTGTCCTACAAAGCTTTTGTAATCTATTTGTTAGTAAAGTCAAAAAGACTTTAACTGAACAGTTATATCAGATCCTCTAAACTGAGAAAAATGGTGTGCATAATCCCAAATACTAATTTATATGCCACTGTATTCTAAAAGTTTAAGTTGTATTTTTTAATATCAACAATATAGTATAGCTACAGTAATACCAAGTTCTTTGTTTAGTAGGATTTAATAGTATTAATAAAACAATTATTTTTAACCCTAAGGTAGATGATCAGTTAGTATAGCCAGCTCATCCATAATTCACATCAGTGAGAATTTTTTTTTTAAAGCATAATTCACATAGAATTTTTTTTTAAAGCACAGAAGGTAGTGATGTGTGAACTTTTTACTTACGTGCTGCTTGAATTTGTGCCTGTTTTCTTTTTTTAATTTCCCGTTTCAGTCTGGTTACGTCCTTTAGTAGTTTCTCTACTGCTCGCTCACTGTGTTCTACTTTCTTGCATATACTCTGCAAAATAAAATAAGGGTACAGACAAAATCCAAGTTGTATACTACAGCTAGGTTCACAAATGATAGACAGTCCTTTGTGGTACACAGTATCAAGTATTATTAGCCTTTATAAGCACTTTATTTTGCTATTTTCTGAAGGAACTCAACAAGCACTTATATGGTGCTTTATAGATTATAAAATGCTTTCCAGACGTATTAATTTTCCATTTATACACAGCTTTATCACACCAGTGATATCTGCTTGATAATACACAGAAATAAAAAAGGTATTTCAGTCACTTTGGAACAAAAAATACTGTAGTATTTTGAGAGATGCTTGCTTACTGCAAACATTTAACATTAAGAAACTGACAATAAGGAAAAGTAACTTTTATTGTTATGAAAAAATATTACAGATTTTTAATTAGTGTGAAAGAAGCAACTTTTGAAAAGCAGACTGGCCTTACTTGTCATCAGTTTTAAGTACTAGTTAAAATACCCTTTGACTCTGTGATTTCATTTTGGGAATATATTTTAAGTAAATAATAAAAATTTATATAAGATGATGTTTCTTAGTATAATATCAAATCAAAAGTTACTTATTTCCAATTATAGGGTAACAGATTGTTACATCTTGTTTTAGAATGTTAGTTTTTTTACTTCTTCATGCTTAGTTTTAAAATGGATACATTTTAGGATATCTGCCCAGCCTATTTCTCATGATCTTGTCCACCATGCCATAAAAGTTCACCAGTAACCCCTTTACCAACTTCCACCCTAACTGACCCAAGCAGAGATACCACATAGCCAGCTGGCAAATCCCAATCTTCTGAACAGATCTAAATGCTGTTCTCTGGTTAGCCAGTGAATGAACAAACAGATCTGTAGGTACTATGAAGGAAGGCAGTGTGCAGACACAAAGGGAAAAAGTAAGTTTGATGACATTCCGGCTCCTGGTTCCAATTCCTTCCTGAAGCTCAGCTGCTTTCTGCCTACAGTTCCTGTAATATACCTCTACATCCCCTATTTTAGCCCGAGTTAGTACTCTGACACAAGAGTTCTAATATATTGCTATATGAAATACACTGCCATTAAAAAGAACTAAAGAATATGTAACAAAAATGCTTAATGCTTTTGAAATGAAAAATGCTTAATGACAGCAAATAAAAATGACACAAATTTGTAAGTCCCCATCACTGTCAACTATGTATAAGTATGTATATACTTTATACATATATACAAAAAATTAGAAAATATGGCAAAGTATAAATGGTTATGCTACAATGATGGGATTCTGGATGTTTCTCTAGTTTCTAAAATTCCCATTTTATCATTCACATTAAAAAACAGTGAGCAATATTAGTAGTGTAAAATGTATTAACCCTACTTCTCTTAATGTGCCTTGTTGATGAGTATGGTGGCCATGGAATATACTACCCACATCTCCATTTGGAGGAAGCATAGTTGACTAACAGCCCCAGCTACCATCCTTTTGGGTCCACTACTGAAGCCAGAGGCTGCTCTTAACTGACTGAGCACAGTGGGGTATTGGTACAAATCCATTCCAGTAGGAAAACTTTGCTGAGACTTCCATCAGCCTGGCTGAAACCACTCCGGCCCTGCAGTCTAAAACTGTCTCTACCCAACTGTCCTCCTTCCTGTCCCCTTTCTCAGGTGTCAGACTCAGCATTACAAGTCTCTCTGCCCGCTCTTGCTCCTCCCCCCTTTTACCCTTCTCAGGCCTAATCAATCTCTTACATGGCTAGTCCCATCTTGATGTCTACTACTCAACTGATTAAATGAGATTGAATTCAGTCCTGTGGTAGATTATTCTGTTCTCAAATACTGCTTCCCTTTTTATCCTGTAAAAGGATTATATATCCCTGTCTACCGCCATGAAATAGGGATATATAATCTGGCCAATGAAAGTGAGTGGAAGTGACATGCCGGCTCTGAGAAGTTTTAAGAGCTGTTGTGAATGTCTACCAGCTTTCTTGCTCTTTTCCCTTGTCATGAGAAGAGCATGTCCCACATAAGGGCTACTCCTTCAGTCTGGATCCTAGAATGAAGATGGCACTTAGAACAAGAGGAGAGCTGCAGCCAAGATATAATGTGAATGAAATTGAACTTTTGCTTTTGTAGGCCACTGAGATTGAGGTCTTACCGAACCTAAACTACTACAAAAATATAAACCTAATCAAATGTCAAGTTATCCCTAAAAGATTTCAGTTATCAATTTGATATGAACTCCAGAAGTAGTCTTTTAAGTGTTTGATATGTTAACTTACCTTTAATTCCTCTTGTAAAGAAGCATACATTTCATTTATTTTATGTACCTCCTTTAAAGATCCATCTTCTGTAAAAAATTCAGAGCTGGAAAAATTACCATTTTGTCAGGCAAATGTATAGAAGTCATTTTAATACTATAATGAAACACTTATTTGTAGTTGAGGAACAACAGAAGATTCTTTTTACTGGTTTTGTAGGGACCATATTTTGTCAACCTACTTGTTTCACAGCAAAACCAATCAGAAAACTTAGTTCAGGGGCGCCTGGGTGGCTCAGTCGGTTAAGCGTCTGCCTTCGGCTC